TGATGTGTGGTGTCTTATCCAGTGTTCACCTTGTCTTTCCCAGTAGTCTTGGTTGTCCTCCTGTGCTGTGAGTGGTCTGTGGATTGTCTCCTTTGGTTGTGTGGTGTCAAGATTTGTAGAAGGTGCTGCTTTAGGTCTCCATATCTTTTGTGGTGCTCGTAGTTGGATCTTTGATCTGGTTGGTGGTGTGTCCATTAGCCGTTGTGGTTGTGAGCTCTGCCTTGTTGGTGTGGTCTTTGATGTTGCTCTGCGTGTAGGTGTTATCTTTCTTCTGAATCTGGTTTCTCCAGTCCAGTTGTCACCTTCTAGTCTTCGTTGTAGTTCTTGCTTGGAAAGTTGTGTTGGGTTCTCTTGTAGTTGTTCTTGCTCTTGCCCTTGTCTGTTGATGATGGTTAGTCGCCAATCATCTAGTTCTTCTTCAGGTATTGGGCAACCACTGTTGTGTGGTGTGAATAGTGCTTTGCGTGGTCGTTTGTGTACTCTGATGGCGTAGTCACCATCAAGTTTCCAGTAGTCAGTGTTTCCACCAAGGATCTGTCGTAGTCCTTGGTCTGTGTGTGTGAGTGGTGCGATTTGTTCTTGTTGTTGTGCTGCTCTCTCTGTAGGTTGAATCACAGCAATGGATTTTCCACTGTCTGTAGTCATTGGATAGATGTCGAATCCTGTAGGGATGTCGATCTTCTCTGCTCGTAGGTAGAAAAGTCCTGAGTGTCTGATGAGGTGTGCTTGTTGTTGTCCATGTGTGATGGTGCAGTGTCGTGGAGTGAAGTCAAGTCCATATCCTCTATCAAGTAGTCTTGATGCACTGAGGATTGGGTACTTCACATCACAAACGTAGTAGGGTATCATGATCCTGAAGTTGTCCTGCTTGTAGGGAACGTACTTGATGCCTTAGACAAGAATCTTCTTGTTGGTAAAGTTGTGGAACCGATTCTCCACAAGGTCGTAGCGGTAGGTCTGGTGCGTAGTCCTTCGGGCAAACGTGTGTAGACGCTCCTGAGTCGATCAGCAGGTGGTGGTATGACTTGAAGTTGTAGTACATGATGTAGTGTGTGATAGTGTTCTCAATCTTCTTGTTCCTTTGTTGTTGTCTGGCTGCTGCTATATCAAAGTGTGGCTGTGTGTTGTCTTCTTGTAGGAATTGTTGAAAGCTCTTGCTGTGGTCGTTCCATGATGTTGTGTGTGTTGTTCTCTTGCCAAGTAGTGATTTGTGCTTGTGTAGTCGTGAGTTTGCTTGTCTGATGTGTCCAATTGTGAGGTGTGACTCGTTGATGCCTCCAATGTAGTTTGCAGTGTCCTCATAGCTGTTGTCATTCCAATCCCAGCTGTTGTCATAGTCGTAGTCGTTCCAGTTCTCCTCCATGTAGTTCACCTCGTGTTGTCCTTCTTCTCCTTCGTAGTACCAGTCCCAAGTGTCGTTCACATCCTGAGGTAGTTCTTCATTGTTGTCGTGATCTGCTTGTTCTTGTTCTAGTGGATGTAGTTCTTCTCCTTCTCCTATGTGCCATACTGGCACTCTGCAGTCTTGTGCCCAGTGGCCTGGTTTGCCACATCGATGGCATGTTGTGTAATTGTTGTTTCCTTTTCCTTTTGATTTGCTGTAGTTTCCTTGGCCTTTGTAGCCTTTGCTTGATCCATGTCCTTTGGATCCTGAGTAGCCTTTTCCTTTGTTCTTGTTGTATCCTCCTTTGTTGTAGTTTCCTTTGCTGCCTTTGTCGAATCCTTTGTAGTGGCCTTTGCTTCTGTACTTACCTTTTCCTTTGTTTCCTTTGTAGTGTCCTTTGCCTCCATATTTGCCTTTGCCTTTGTAGTTTCTTCCTTTTCTCCAAATGTTGTCCACGTCCATCGGTGCTGTCCCACCATTGTAGTTTGTGCCAACTGCTGAGCTCGCTCTTGAGAATGCAGAGATGGTTTTGTAGTAGTCCAGGATGACAACTCTGATCTCGTTGTAGTTCGTGATCTGTCCAGCACGTAGTTGGAGATGCTGTTGGAGTGCTCCTTTGGTCTTGTTGAGTAGTATTGCAATCTTTACTCTATCTGGTAGTGCTGTGCCGTTGTCTTTCTCGTAGCGGTTGATGTCGTATTCCCACTGTAGGAATTGTTCTTCAAATTGTGCTTCATTGAATGTAGGTTCCAGTAGTTTGGTGAGGTAGCCAACACTGCGTGTTCCTACTGGTAGGCTGAACCTGTTGCGCAAAAGCCGTAGTGTTTCACATCCATTGGCATTGTAGCGGTTTTGTCTAACCACTGTAGCTGCTGCTCCTTGGCAGATGTTGATGAGGATGTAGTGTAGATCTTGTGAGAGGTCTACTGCTTTTACTGCCTGTGTAGGGTCGCGTATGTGGGCTCTGATGTCTGCATCTTCAATTTGTCTTGTAGCTGCTTGTGCTAGTTGTAGCACCATGTCGAAGTCTCGGTCGATAAGTCCGAGATATGCTTGTAGTTTGAACAGCCACTCTTCATACTGTGAGTAGTCACCAGTGAAGAACGGTGGTGGCAGTTTGTATTTGTGTAGCCTTTGGACGTCTTCCTGCTCCTGTGTTGTTGTTGTAGTTGTGGCTCCTATTGTCTCTTCTGCTGCGGGCCCGTTGTCTGCTCCTGTAGTTGGTTGTGCTGATGCTGCTGCTGGTTCTCCTGACATGTCGTAGTAGTTGGGCATGTTGGTTGCCTGTGCAGTTGTAGTACTTACTGCTGTTACTGGAGCTCCCCTGTGTTTAGCATCTCAGCTCCGCTACCACGTTAAAATACGTTGATACTTTACTTCTAGTGCAAGTGTTGTTCAGTTCTCACAAACACAAATGTAGTCAGCCAGCATGCACTCTTTTCCTAGTAGACTCAAGGCCTGCAGTCGGGTAGCGTACATCATGCATGCACAAGTGACAAGTAGTGCAACATGATATTTGACAGCTGCCTCCCTCCCTTCCTGAATTCCTTGCTCTCCTCTCTGCTCCTCTCCTCTCGCTTTCCATATCTCTGCCCCGCGTTTATTCTCTACCTTCGCTCCTCTCTCTGGCTTGGTCTCGTGAGTTGGTTAAAGAAATAAATGAACAAGAGAGGAATGTTACAGTATGTGGGTGAATGAAATGAGCCAGTCCATTCTTTCCTCTTCCTCGTCTTTCGTTCAGATAATGCCATCCAAGACTCACAGACAATCTCAAATACGATAACACAGGAAATAGATGGACCATCGACAGGTAATCTGTAAAGGTATGACCATATCATAAGACAGAACAATAACCATGAATCATTACTGGTGTTCCTTCTCTCACTCTTGGATCTCGTTTCTTCCCCACGTTCCTTTCACCTACATTGGCTCCCTGCACTCGCTCTCCTAGTCAAGGTCAGTCCACATGTGGGAAGGAAAGCGTGAGTGCCATTCCCATTTCTCGCTTCTCTGTCATTCACATGTTGACTCTGAAAGCGAGATAAGGACAGCAATGAGGATAGCAGATTTGTTCATCTACCTATCCACCTGCATTGTGCTTATTAGTAGCTGGAAAACGTGCATGGATAAACAGATGAAACAAGAAATGGACAGTGGGTATTTGTGTTGCTTGGTTTGTTTGCTTTTCCTGTTGTCTGTCCCACTCGCTAGCAGATCATGGGCGAGCAAATGAGGATAGAGAGACACTCATCTTCCCTTCCCAACTAATACTCTCTACGTCAGGGAAAGGGTGTAAGAGAGTGATGCTGGCAAGTTCCAATTCCTATCTGGCATCTTCGCCTGGTGTAGCCCCAAGAAAGAGGGAAATGCTAACTCGCTCTTCGCCCAATGGAAGTCCACTGAAAGTCAAACCAATGGGCCGAAAGCAGGACATGGGAATGATGGACCTCCCTTGGCTGAACTCAGAGAATGATTCGCGAGTACACGGTGGAGGGAAGCGCTACTCTCTCATCCCTTTAATTGCTGTCGCTCGCTCTTGATTTGTTTGTATTCTAGGCCGGAGACATAAATACAACGAGTGAGTGAGACAATGCAAACAGATATTAAGAGAGTGTCTGTTTATCTCTGTCTCTCGTCCCTACCTCTCATTTAGTTCTTGTCTTTGAGGTAGGAAGAGACGAGTCCAGGTACAGAAGTGAGTTCGCGCTTGGCATGTCTTAACCTCTACCTCCAATTGCTCCCTCTTTACCATCCCCCACTGAGAGAGGCAAATAGGGAAGATATAGAAGGGGAGCGGAGAAAATGATAAGATTATCAGTTTTAATGTCAATTCAATTTCCTTTCTATCTCTCATTCGTTTCTTGCAAGCGCTTCGCGTTGCCCGCCTCGGCCAGAATGCTTTTGGCTGGCTTTGAGGTACCGTGTTTTGGTCCGCCTTGAAGTCTTTTGTTTGCTTGAATGAGTGAGTCGGCACGGAAGTGCGCGGGGTGCATGTTATGGCAGCAAGGGCTAGATAGAGCAAGAGCCGCAGTCAGAGAGCCACGGAAGGGCAGTGGACTGGGCAAAGCAAAGCCACCTCCAAGTCAAATCCCTCAAATCCCCCCGAGAAACCGGCCAGTCAAATCCTTAAACAAACTGGTCCAACTCCAGTCAAATGCCAAGAAAACCGGTCGGGCTGAGAATAGACATAGGTGGATGGGCCACTCTCTCTCTTCAGAACGGTGTGTGCTCTTTCCCTCTCTTTCGCGCGGCCAGCCCGCTCGCTCGCTCGCTCCCCCCCCCTCACTCACTCACTCACTCGCTCGCTCGCTCACTCACTCACTCACCCAGCTCACTCTCGTTGTTCTTCTTTTCCCTTCCTTCCTTCCTTCCTTCCTTCCTTCCTTCCTTCCTTCCTGCCTTCCTTCCTTCCTTCCTTCCTTCCTTCCTTCCTTCCTTCCTTCCTTCCTTCCTTCCTTCCTTCCTTCCTTCCTTCCTTCCTTCCTTCCTTCCCTCCTTTGATTCATTTGTTTTTCTGTTTGTCTGTGCTGTCCTTTTTTTAAATTCTCTCTCTCCTTCCTCTCTCCCACTCTTTGTTGCCTGTAGCCTCGGCATATTGCTTATCTCTTTATCCGAGGATCTCCAGGGATTAGCAGGCCTTGCTTTTTTTCGAGCCTTGGCTGCACAAGAAGGCATTCCTCAGATATTTTGGTGATTGCCACTCAGAAACCCGCCGCTTGTGTCACAATGCTTTGGACAAGACTCGCTTGGACAGTCAGCAGACTCACTAGTATACTGTGAAGGTACTCTTGGTGCCAGGAGTTGTCTTCGCTGACTAGCCGAGCCACCGTAGCCTATGTTGCATGGGCATAGAGCTGCACTGGTTGGGATATTTGGATCTGAGCAAAACCTGAGTCACAATCAAACCCCGGTAGATGAAGGTTAGTAAGGGACGATCCCAACCATAAATAGCCGCGGCCGCCTTCTTAATTATTTAAGTGCTTCTGGGTGAACCATCTTTGTAGGTTTTGATTTTGACTCACCTCACGATCCCTCTTGAACACAAAGAGTTCATGGCCTGCCCGACCCGCGGGACATCGCACGGTTCCCCCAGCGCGCGCCCGAGGCAGCAACGCCACACGCCTTTTCGGGCCGCCGCCATGGCGAGTGCCTCTCGCATGGGATCTCGTCAATGTGGAAACCTCGTTGGGTGGTTTCCTGTTTGGTCTCAGATTGAACCAACCAAATACAAAACAAAGGGTGCCCTGCAAAAAGACGGCCCAAATATGATCCAGCTGTGTTTTGTGGCCGGAGAATACCGCGGTGGCGTGTGAAAGCTGGAGGCGCATCATCTCTTGACAGCCCTTTCTGAATGGACGCGTTTCACAGCGGTGTCAAAATCAGCGGGACCTGGGCGGGCACAATGTAAGTTGTCACGGCCAGGTGCTCATTGGGCGCACTGACCACTGGCTTTGGACAGAGGCATCCGTGGGAGGGATCTCATGCTTGGCGAGTGCCGTCACCAGCGGGCCATCTGACATGCTTGCAGTCGCGTGTTGGAACCCGGAAGAGAAGTGTGTTCGGGCCGAAGGTCTTGGTCGGAAATGTAGCGGCTTCAAGGCAAGAAGCGGTTGGCTTGGTAGTTTGCATGTGAAACAAAGCGGCACGGGCTGACTTTTTGCACTACAGCCCGTTCCTTGTACGAGTCCCTTGGCACTTGGCACGTCCTAAACCTTTACCAGATGCAAACACCATGCACCATGCCAACAGTGCAAGGACCAGTCCGAGTACATGGTGGGGCTGTTGGCATCTTCCATTCCCCACGGCATCGCCGGTGTCACCGTCAAGAGCGTGAAGGACCAGTGTGGAGTGCTGAAGCACATTTTGGGCAGCGGGAATCACGATGCATGTCATGATACCTCCCGTCTGCCTTGGACCCGTGACATATGTGCGCGGACAGTCCTAAGATTTGTCGGATTAGTCAAGAGTTGCAGTTCCACAGCTATAGTGCAGTCATATTGGTGCAAATTTTGTTTGAAGCCGAGTGGCTATTCCAGCGAGTGCTTGGTCATGGCTGATGTTCCATTGACCACACGCGTGGAACTGAGCAACCCCAGGAGTTTTCTGGATGATAACAATAGCTAGGGGCATGTGACAGATGTGGATGGCATGAGATGATCAGCTGGTCAGGGGCAATGCTCTGATAACAATGGTGATGTGGCAAGCATGTTGTCGTCCAGAACCACGATTCGCGTTTTGAATGCTCACGTCGCAGGCTGCCTACGATGAGGCCTTGGAGACCCGAGTGGCGGTGCTGCTGGAGCGAGTGTCTGAGGACTGACTCCGTACAAGAGACACACACAAACGGATTCCATGGGCAGACATGCTTGCAGCACATGCCTGTGGGAGGTCCATGTTATTCTGGGTCGGACGCACTGCATGGCGTGGCTGCGGCTGAATAAGTACTAGTTACTACGATGCTGCGTTGTAGCTGCGTAGCTTTCTCAGAGCTTGCAAGCAAAGCGACCCCTCAGAGTTTTGACTGATATTGACATTGATAGGGCAGACCACAAGTGCACTTGTGTGTGTGTGTGTGTCTCTGAGTGCAAGTGTGTTTATGTCTTTGAGCCTTTGTGTTTCTGTGTTTCTATGTGCTTTTTGTCTTTGTGTTTGTGAGTTGCTGTATTTGGATGTTCGTAAGACGGTCTGCGTGTGTTCGCGAGATCTTGGCGGCAGTGTCTCGTATTTGTGTGTGTGTGTGTTGGTAAGGGTCTGCATGGATGTATGTGCGGAGTTGATGTGCCGGCCCCGGGCTCCAGCACCCGCCGTTGAGAGGTGAACACGTCTTGCCAGGATTGCAAGAAAAAATGTTGTGTTTGGGCCCGGGATGGCCTTGGCCATACCGAATTTGGCACGGGCTTTGCCGCGCTCGGGCGTTGCAATTCCGCCTTGCGACGCAGCGCTGAACTTCGTACGTTTCGAGCGGATTATTTAGAGTGTCCTTGTTTTTGGCAAGCCCTGGCCCTGTCCTTTGCTCAGGAGCAAGCCAAGGACACCGTTGAGCAGATTGAGGAGTTTGGCCTTGCTGTGAAGGCAGAGCCAATTGAGGGCGAGCGCTCCAACGAGCAGGAGGGGCAGAGGGAACGGAATCAGGCTCTCCGAGGTGACACCTTTCGAATGCATGAGGCAGGAAGGAAGTCTCTCAGAGAGCAACATGGCAGTTCCAAGCTCAGATTGGTGAACTAGGATTCAATATGCCTTGGCCTTGAGAGTGCTGCCCAGAGTGTGTAAAGACTCATACAACATGTGTTTCAGCACACTTGTCATTCAAACGGTGAATTGAATTGCGTCGTTGCTACGCAGGAGTCGCCCATCCAGCACTTCAGGCCTTACAACCTTTGAGCGAAGCTGCGCCATGTTCCTTTGATCCGTAGTTTTGCCCAAACCTCACTCTGGTGCACGCAAGCTTTGTTATCGTGAGACTTTTTCCTTATCACCTGTGGCATTCCACGGCACGCTCGGGCTCGTGGCACTTGAGAGCACGATTTTGAGACCAGGCGCATCCAGCGCGAGCTCGGGGAGGCTGGAGATGACTGGGGAAGTCAGCTGTCAGCCGTGAGTGGCACAGGCAACCCAAGCTAGACGCTTATGGCGATGGGTCAAAATCCAAATCGTACCCCCAAGTGAACATCCCAATGCCCACTAAAAAAGGTTCTAACATGGGTGCTGAATTCTCCGAAAGCCCCAAAATGGGATCCCAAAACGGTTTTGACAACCAGGGTAATATGTGCAAGAAAGCATATGCTCACCATGGCCCATGCTAGCTCACCCTTGGGTCAGCCCGCCCAATGGTAAGCAATGGCTAGGGTATGGGTTGGTTGTGGTAACTCATAGCTTTGTTAGTTTATGTTTCTAAGCTGCCTGTTGTGGGCACTGGAGGCTTCCTTGCTCACGCATAAGCGCTGCCTTTTGCCACCTGCGTGCCATGTCAGCCACTCGCAACACTGGAAGCGCGGCAACACGCCGCTTTTCAGGCGTCTATAAAGCTTTGAGGCTCAGCACATTGTGCTGGATGCCTTCAGTTTGCCGTGGCACCTGTTCAAGCATAGACTAGATCACTTGGTACATTTTTACCATCATGCAGAGGAACCAGTCTTCATTTAGTGCATTCCTTACCTGAAGAGCCGCAGACAATTGTCACTTGGCAAGCTATCTTAGGAAGATCCTCAAAGGACAGCACAACTTCCATGGGCCACGACAGTTTTGGCGATCCAGCTGAGTGGCCCAGGCGTCCGAGCTGTTGCGCCGGGCAGCCCAAGAAATAAGTCCCGACGAGATCCACCAGGCAAGGGGGTTGTTTGCGCAAGGCGTGTTTGCCGGCCAATTGCCAATGTGGGGCTGTCATGTTGGACCATGCAGCGCCTAATCCTGAACCTTGCTATTAGGCAAGTATTGCTCATTATTGTTCATAATACGCACAGTTCGTGATGTCAAGTACTTAAGGAATGCATGCGAATAGCCAGCAGGCATGTCCGCGAAGGCCCTTGTCAGGTTTACATAAATTAGCCTGTTTCCGGCCTGTACTATCTTGAGCCACAGAGCTACACCGTGGGCGAAGCAAACCAGAGACACAAATTGGAACGACCTGCTTTCCAGGGCGATGACTCTTCGTTCGACAGGCAGGGCAGAAAGACATGCAAGTGCGGCGCAGTTGCGTAGTGCTGATGCCGGGTTTGGCCCTGCAAGTATAGTGGACATCGCGAGCATTTCTTCTGTTGTATTTTCATTGTGCTGCGTTGCTTCTTCTGAGACCCGACAGACAAAAGGGAGGACCAGACGACCAGTGCTAAGCCAATCTGATCCAAGTGATGGATTTACTGCTCCACTCGCATTCCGATGTGTGGCTCAAGATTCAACCAGGGGTTTCATAGGGTTCCATTTTGATTACCCATGTTTTGCCCCACGCCCATTTGACCCTAGAGGATCTCTTCACCGTTGTTGGCATGTTTTTAAGTGCTTCTCGTCATTATTTGGGGTGTCTACAAAAAAACAGTTCAGTCAGTTTGTCGCAAGGCCCAGAGGCTTGGACATCTTGGTGAAACCTTCCTGGTCGGTCCGAATCCGAGGCACATCGACATGGTGCGGCACCTCCGCATGGAGCTGCGAGCCGCCGCCAAGGGCCTGGAGGAGGCGAAGAGCCGCTCGGCACATGGGCGGGGTTTGACGGGCTGGACAAAATCCATTTCGCACCGCTCAGAAACCCTGGAATGCTTGCCCTGTAAATACCAAAAGGATTTCCCATGGTTTCTCAGGTGCTGCGAAATAGATTTTGTCCATCCACAGTCTTGGTTGCCTGAAAGAAGAAATGGAAAGGATACTAAACAACTCGAGGGTTGTGGCAATGCAGAACAATATGGACATATGGACATTGCGTCGGTGGATCATGTTTTTCCCACCGACACACACATACACAACAAACACACGCACCGACACGGATGCAAACATAGTGCACACCACAGACACACACACACACACAAAGACACCCACGCACGCACACGGCCACGTCACACACACATGCATCGCGATGGAGTTATTTGTGACATGACAAGCTGAAAGGCCAGCCTAGGAAATGGTGGACAGGCAAAAGGGGCGGGTCTTGTGGGATACCGAGACAGCCTTTCTACCAGAATGACACATAGCAGCTGACAGGCATGCTGTCCACTCCCATTCTTGGATAGAGGCTACATGTACAACATGCTAAGCTTCACAGGAAACGACAGGCAACTGTGCACCAAGCCTGCAAGTTGCACGCGCAATTGGAATTCCGGCATCGTGGGATTTCATGCAAAGTGAATGGGAAGTGCCTTGTTCGGAGTCTTCTTAGCATTGGCGAAAAAGCCCCGTAAGACCGACCTGATGCAGCTTCTGAACAGCATAAGCCAGACCTGTCCGAAAGTGGTGGTTGCTCCCATGCATGCTAAAGCCCAGTTTGGAGCACTGGTATTGAATCGGATGATATCGTCATGTTTTCTGTTGACGAGTCACATGTTGGATGTGCTGTTGACTGAACACAGGACGTGAAAGGCCACTGTGGCCATCCATTCATGTCTGCCAGCCCAGGTGAAACCAAGGTGAACGGGAAGGCCGGAAGTTGGGCAGAAGGGAGGACAGCGCCGTGACATGCCTGATGCATATGGAGCCTTGTCACCATGGCACGGGCATCGGGTTGCGCCTCTTGGGCCAATAGATGAAAGGAGTGGACGTCAAGCTCTGATGATGCAAGAATCAAACTGCCATCATTTGTCCTTTATCCAAACTTTTAGGTCCTGCATGGGCTGGTGCCGGATGATCGTATTTTTTCTCATTTAATTTTCGTATGCTGCTTTGCCCAGATGTAATTCGACTGCCGCTATGTTGCAACCTTGGAGAGCTTCATGAGATGTGTGTGTGTGTGTGCGTGCGTGGGTGGGTGGGTGGGTGGGTGTGTGTGTGTGTGTGCGTGCGTGCGTGCGTGCGTGCGTGCGTGCGTGGGTGGGTGGGTGTGTGTGTGTGTGTGGGTGTGTGTGCGTGTGCGTGTGCGTGTGCGTGTGCGTGTGCGTGTGCGCGTGCGCGTGCGTGTGCGTGCGCGTGCGCGTGCGGGTGTGTGTGTGTGTGTGTGGGTGCGTGTGTGTGTGTGTGTGTGGGTGGGTGCGTGCGTGCGTGGGTGGGTGTGGGTGTGGGTGTGGGTGTGGGTGTGGGTGTGGGTGTGGGTGTGGGTGTGTGTGTGTGTGTGGGTGTGTGTGTGTGTGTTTGTTTGTTTGTTTGTTTGTTTGTTTGTTTGTTTGCGTGCGTGCGTGCGTGCGTGCGTGCGTGCGTGCGTGCGTGCGTGGCAAAGAAACGGCACCCAGCAAATGTGGATTGTTCCTCAGGTTTTTCCTTAAATCAACCTGAAACGGGTACCTTCAACACCTCATGTGCAGCACATCGAGTTGCAGATGTGTAACCTGTCCATGTCGCGCAGGTTGCCAACGGCGTCTCCCAGCCGAGATGACATGTCAGTCCATTTCTCCGTGGGCATTTTGCTCTCTACAGGCTTCCCAGAGCCAAGAGGGTTTCTTTGTCAGAGTTCATGTTGCGAACTCAGATGTCACGGTGTCCTATGCTGTTCCAACGGCACTGCGGGCGCCAATTCACCAGCATGTATCATCCTCTCTGCCTGAAAGACCAGGAACACACAGTCAGGGCGATGCAGGCCTCAGAGAAAGCTGCTGTTGCTTGAGTTGTACATGGTATGATTTCGCAATCAACATCACAAACACCTGAGACGGTTTGGCTTCTTGGCATGTGGGCAGTCGGCTCTGGGATGCAGGCAAACAAGCTAAATCAGAGGGCAGCTGCAGCTTCAGTCTGACTGGGCTGAGTCAAGTGTGCTCGCTTGTTCAGAGCGTTGGCTCTTTGGCTCTGCAATTTAGCGCTTCACTCAGACCTACACAGAGCTGCCTGAGGCATCAGCAAAAGACTTGGCAATACTTGGCATTTTGTGGTGCTTAGCAACCGCGTAGAGCAATGCAGCATCTCAAAGAGTGCCCGTGGGATCGAAACACGCCGTGGAGGCAGGAATCTCGCGTGTTGCCGTTAATTGAAATGACTTGGGTGCTGAAGGACACTCATTGTGATGGAGGATTGAATATGATCACGACGATGAAAGGGGGCAGCTAGATCCTTTCACCGACTGAGACTTGCTAGACGGTGTTTTTGTTGAAACACTGTTTTGCAAGCAGCGCGAATCAAGGCGGTGGGAGGGAAAAATTCAGCAAGCTGCGGCCAAATTGATGCTGGCGCTGCTTGAACTCTGCCGGGCGGTGAGGATGAAGAATTTGCAGGAAGAAGAGGAGATGATGATGGTGATGATGATGGTGATGATGAGGAGGTTGACAGTGACGGGGGTGTTATAATAGCACGCGTACATGTTTGCGCGGTTCGCGAACCCTTTGCGGCATTACATTGCCTGATTCAGGGCTGGGTGCCGCTGGTAGAACAATGTCCAATTGGTTGGTGCAGCTGCTGTGCCAGATGTGTCGCTTCTCAGTCATGTGTGGCTGGTCCTTGCGCCTTCGCGCCTGATACTAATATCTTTTCCGCGGGATCTATGTGGCACATGTGCCAGGGTCAAAAGACCCGACATCCATCCAGCCTTTTGGGCAAGCACGTGCTTGGAAGCCAACCGTTTGAACACCCAGATGTCAGGCCTGCAGCATTGCCGATGGGGACCACTTCCTTTGACCAGCGCGAGGCGGGGGCCACATGAGAATGCAAGCATGAAGTACCCAGACATTCTGAAGAATAGACTCAATAGACATTGACATATTAAGGTGTGACTCAAAATTAAACTGGAGGAGTTACACAGGTGTTTGATCCATATTTCCACTTACCAGGGTTCCATTTTGATACCGGTTTTTTGAGCCACTGCCGTATCCTCTCTTGTGCGCATTTGTACTGATTTGGACTCAGAGCAGGACCTGGCCATCGCCAAGAACCTCTTCATCTATGGGGAGATGTCCCCCAAAGTGGCACAGCCGACTGGGCTGGAGGAAACAGTAAGGCGCCACGTTTTTGCCAACATGTCTGTCTGAGCACCTTTTCAAGCAATGGGGTTCATCATGAAAGCTTTTGATGCCTCAGCGTGAAACCGGCCACGTCGCTCGGCTTTGGCCGGCTGGCAGGATGGCCATGAAGAATCGTCAGGGAGAGTTTCCACGGAAGGAGGAGCTCAGGAGCGCCAGCTATTTGCCTAATGGCTGGGAGGACCGGGCGAAACGAAGCAGATGCGTGTGGGGAGGTTCCAATGTGGGCGTTGCACGCGAAATTCTGCCAGACTTTCCCGTTCAGTATTGCAAGTGTGTTGCATGTGGGGAATGAGCGTGTTCCCTAAATCTGTCACAGCTGATGTTGGTTTACTGGCAAACGTGCAGAATGTGTTGGAACAATGCCAGTGAAACTTGCACCTGGTTGCCAGACAATATTTCCTGGCTGTGCTTCTTGCATACCTTGGGAGGCATGTTGCATTTTCGAAGCTAATCATCGTTTGAATGTTTTGTGTTAAATGCGTTGCCATTTTTTGCCAAGCCTCGACCAGCCCGCTCGATTTCTTGGCTGAGTTTGCAATGTAATGGCAGCGCCCAAAACCCTTGTGGACAAATTAGTTGGTTTTACTATTTTGTGTTTGATGGGAGTGCTAGTAAGGCTAACGGCACCCTTGTAAGCATATTACGGTAGAACCCAAAGTCAAGCTGTTTTGGGCAGCGTTCTTTTGGAATATCAGTTTCTGACATGCAAGAGACGCTGTCATGGGTCGCTTGAGCCTGACATGCAGGACTACAAGAAGTTCAGCAAGCCTGACTTCACGAAGTCCTTCTCCTTCATCAGGACGCCATAGTGTGGCGCTGTTGCGTCGGTGTCGGGACTCAGGCGATTTGGCCCATGGGTCAGGTCCCAGTCTGGCGGCCAGCAACTGCCAGTCTGCCGCCTGTTCCGCCAAATCACTCAACTAAATGGGGGCCGGGAATGGACATGTCTCTTGTGCAACTCCGATGACTCGCAGGAATGGCTGCAGCTTTGAAGGCAAGTCTTCCCCCGTAGCCTCACGACCTCACACAGCTGGCTGTATTGAAGAGATGCTGACGAGCCTCGGCTGAGTAAATCTAGTCGGGATGCAACGCTGGAGTGGAAGTTAGCTTTCACGGGGTGTGCGAGTGTTTGTGTAATGGGCCTTTTCACACATTGTTGTTTCAGTTTGAACTGGTTGCTTGCGCACGGCTCGCTGGCCCAAGTGTTAGCAATCTCAGCAGGACAAACATATTGTTGGGCATGTCATGTGCGCTTGTGGTGGTGCTACGCTCTTTGGGCTCGGAACAACATTTGCCCCTAGAATTCTATGTAAGAAGAAACTAAATAGACATGTTCAACTCTTGTTTACGGGGGGATTGCTCGGGTCAGACTCAAAACACTGTTGAAGTTTTGGCTGACTGTTGAGCATCCCTTCTGGCTAAAACAGGTTATTGTAAACACTTCGCGCTACCCACCGGTTACCCACCTTGGGCCAGTATCGGCCGGTTTACAAAGATGTACTGTGGGTGCAGTTCACGCGTTTCTACCTCTTAGTCTTCACATGCTGGATGCTGCTTGAAGAAGCATGCACAGGGATTGAGCGGCATGAATGCGTGGCCAGCCGTGTGGCTTGGAACTAGCTGAAGCCCCAAAAGCTGAGGGGCTGCGCGCGTGGCCTAAGCCATGCTTCATAAGCTACAGCCGAAGTCCACGGGCAAGGGGCTGGGGGGCTACACGTGGCCTTGACGGCCGGAACCGCAGCCGGCGAGCTAAGAGCTGGGGCCAGGGCGTGAGGCTCGCTCTGGAGAGCGCCGTAGCGCAAGGCCCCAAGGCTTGCAGCCAGCGGACGGATTGGGGCTGGGCAGCTGCAGCCGCAGTCCAAGGAACCTGCGCGACGGGGCTCGGCGAGGGCTCTGCGCGGGCCAAGTGCGTGTCGGCCATCAGGTTGCCTTGTTACTCTCAGTCCCTAAGTTCATGGGCTGTATTTTTTCGGAAGACCGTGATAAAAGTCCAGACTTTCTTTGCACACTCCAGCCAGCGCAGCTGAGGCAGCTGGAGCATGGAAGGTCCTATGATCTGAAGAGGGATCTGACCACTTCCCGGTCCTGAAAGCCGAGGCGAACTGTAATCAAGCAAATATCACTCATGTGATTCAAACTACGCCATTTTTCAGGCCAGCGTTTGAACGGACTTGTAAGCAGAGCTGCGCTTGTTTGAGCAGACCTGCTGTTTCCTGCGCAAATGCTTGAGAATGGGTTCTGGCAGTTCCTCTCTGCATTTCAGGTGCCATGAAACGATTGGGCCCGGCATCGATTTGAGGCCGCCTGCCCACACAGAGTCTTTGGACAAGCTGGCCACGCGAACGTGGTCCCGCATGACGATACTTGCACGAATGGCGGTCTGAGTGATTTATTGCCATGGAAGTATGCCTCGGATAGCGAGGCCACAAGACTATGTTTGCTCTTGTTTGCAGCATTGATAGTTGCTTCCTGCGGACGCATTTAGATGACTCAAGAGACATTGACAAGACCACTGCATAGCTGCGCTTAGCAACCAGTTTGTTCAGGAGGCTCCTCGCATCACGCGAGGGTGCAACACCGGTTGAGCTAAGCCCAGGAATGACAAGACGCATTTCGGATGGCATTTTGTTGACACAGCGCTGATCTTCTTGACACATCTCTTCAGCGTCTCAGTCAACGAAATATCTCGTCTAGATCCAGTGCATTTCGAAACCTGAGCAATGCCTTTGTGCTAGTGATAGCGCTCCCATGCATCATGCAGCCAAGGGAGCGGCCGCAAAGTATGACCTCCAGCATGCGGATGTCTGCGCTAGCCCCAGCTTTGGCCGGGAGGCTGCCAAGCAAAGTGCAGCGGTTGCTCGTTTCCTGTTTTCTGTGACAAGTTTGAGCAGATATGAACCCATGCGTACTTGTCTGCTGATCTTTCAAGCAATCAGACGCTGTAGGCCTTCCCCTACACATGCCCCATGTCTCCATTTTGCATGGTCAGATAGAGCGCAGCTTTCAATCCATCAACTCCCTGTTTGATGTGGCTGAGCCGTTCACGAGTGAATCGTTGCTTCATGCAGTTTGCACCTGTCATAGGTTCAGCCTCTCATTTCAATCAATACACCAAACACAATGGATAATTGATATTGTGCTAGCATGCTTAGCTTGCGGGACCTGAACTTTCCGTGCGGAAACTCAGCGAGGCCAGCATGCCATACATCCGGGCCAAGTCCAACAAAACCATGGAGCTGACGCAGTATCCTTTGATTCGAGGTCTCAGCAGGCGGAGAGGGCAAGAGCACTCAATATGGGAACTTCAAATTCATCAACAAATGGCGTAAGCAAGTGGGAGCATGCCAAACATCCTGAGCTTATTGGACGCACTTGACTTAACAAGCTTCAGCTCGCCTTCGGAGTACACAGGAGCGATGGGTACATGTTTCCCGAGGTGCCACTGCACTACTCTGCAGAATATGTGACGCTGTTGGGGGGGCAGCCTGCTCACGGGTGCGGGTGTCTGTGCGTGTGTGTGCGTATGTGCGTGTGTGTGCATGTGTGTGTGTGTGCGTATGTGCGCGTGTGTGTGTGTGCGCTTGTTTGTGTGTGCTTGTGTGTGTGTGTGTCTGTGTCTGTGTCTGTGTCTGTGTCTGTGTCTGTGTCTGTGTCTGTGTCTGTGTGTGTGTGTTTTTGTGTGTGTGTTTTTGTGTGTGTGTTTTTGTGTGTGTTTTTGTGTGTGTGTGTGTGTGTGTGTGTGTGTGTGTTTGTGTGTGTGTGTGTGTGTGTGTGTGTGTGTTTGTGTTTGTGTTTGTGTTTGTGTTTGTGTTTGTGTTTGTGTTTGTGTTTGTGTTTGTGTTTGTGTTTGTGTTTGTGTTTGTGTTTGTGTTTGTGTTTGTGTTGTGTGTTTGTGTTTGTGTTTGTTTGTGTTTGTGTTTGTGTTTGTGTTTGTGTTTGTGTTTGTGTTTGTGTTTGTGTTTGTGTTTGTGTTTGTGTTTGTGTTTGTGTTTGTGTTTGTGTTTGTGTTTGTGTTTGTGTTTGTGTTTGTGTTTGTGTTTGTGTTTGTGTTTGTGTTTGTGTGTTTGTGTTTGTGTGTTTGTGTGTGTGTGTGTTTGTGTGTGTGTGTGTGCCTGTGTGTCTGTGTGTCTGTGTGTTTGTGTGTCTGTGTGTCTGTGTGTTTGTGTGTCTGTGTGTCTGTGTGTCTGTGTGTCTGTGTGTCTGTGTGTCTGTGTGTCTGTGTGTCTGTGTGTCTGTGTTTGTGTCTGTGTCTGTGTTGGTGTCTGTGTCTGTGTCTCTGTCTGTGTCTGTGTACGTGTACGTGTATGTGTATATGTGTGTGTGTGGGTGTGGGTGTGGGTGGGTGTGTGGGTGTGTGGGTGTGTGGGTGTGTGGGTCTGGGTGTGCGTGTGCTCGTGCGTGTTCGTGCGCGTGTGCGTGTGCGTGTGCGAGTGCGTGCAGTGTCAGGCGAATGTGACCTTTCGGTCAAGTTACAGTCGTATTCTTAGCCCCTTTTCCTGAGCACAATCCCCCTTGGCACGGATCGGCGAATATACAGCAATATGTAGTATACACGATCATTTGTGGACACGGTGAAACGCTTTCCTTTGGTCTGTGTTGTATGCACGAGTTCTCAGCGTTTGGTTTCCTCACTGGTGCATTGGAGGTGTAACATGAGCCCACGCATTTTGGATATTCGCGGCCGAAGTGGCTTCGCACAGGGAGAAGGCCTTCAACGCGTCCGTTCGCTTCTGAGTGATTTGAACCAGTTGAAAGGAGCCTCGCAGGAAAGAGGCGAGCTCCATTCAATGCTCCTTTCATACCCAGCGACGGCTTGCCACGGCCTGCCCTTCCGAGACCAACACAACACATGTGTGTTCTTTGTGCAATAGATATTTATCAAATCTTGACAAGCAAAGCCAAGGCCTCAGGGCAGCAAAAGTTATGGCTAGAACTATTTGTGTGCGTCGAGGTCTGCCCAAGGCAGCCCTTGGGTCGCTTTTATCTAGAGTCCAGCTCCTCTTGGAGCTGGGAACGTAGCACTTGGGAGCTTCGAGTCCCCTCATGGCCTTTCGCATGACTCGCTCTCAGATCCGGCTGATCTCGGCGACCAGTGAGAATTTTCCCGCTGAGTGGATGCTTAGAAAAGCCGTAGACCATTCATTGCGGATGCGCACGCGTTGCAGTCGGCAAACTGAAGGGCACAGCTACATCAGCCACCTTGTGAGGCCATGATGAGTCAGGTACAATGACCTTGCCTTTCATCATTGCAAGGACTTGTTTGTTGTTGAGAAGGTGGCCAGCACTGCACACTCTGCATATAGCGACGAATTGAAGGGACCCCCTTGGAATGCTTCCTCGCGAGCCAGTAAGAAAATCACTTTGTGATCTTTCCAGGAAATCTTGAGCGACAGGTTAAAGATGTGAGTGCAAAAAAATCCTTGCCGCGTGCAGCTGGCCCAAGGCACTTGGACGCTCAATCCGATTGTTTGATTCCTTTCCATCGGATCCGCTTGAACTTGACAAGCTAATGTGCGCTTCATTTGTTCTACGGTTTGAGCTGGAGCTGCTGCTCTTTAGACCCATGAGCAGGAGGAAGATAACTAGAAGATGGAGTGCATTCTTCACCGCTTGAGTTGGCTCAGTTGCTTTGAGTTGGCGCACTTGGTTTTGTTTTCTGGCTTTCTATTTGACATTGAACAGGATTCTAACGCAGCCAGACGGAGGTGTCGCAGGCTTCTCCTGCCAGCCGCAGCTGCAATGGAAAGGGCCCCCGCCCTTCAAAATGACAGGTCGCTGTCCCAGAACTCGTGCACTGTAAAGCACGCAGTTCCATTTCGCGTAGTGGTCAGGCAGCTAAGAAATGCATGGGAGTCTTTGTTTGAAATGTCGATCGTGTCTGAGAGCCAGCTGCCGATTCACTTCTGCCCTTGAGGTACAAGATGTGCAACATTCTGTGCCAACCACGGAATGGGTGCGCCTAGGGAGAGAGAGGAGAGATGCCTGCTCAGCCAGCAGCTCGTGACTGGGGTTTTGTGAAGGAGTCACACGCAAGTTTAAAGTGTACCGCAAGAGACTAGAAGCCTTTGAGCAAATCGGAGTCGGACGAGACCACTGCAAAACATGTCTTACTGTCCATGGCAACTGGGTATAAACCGGTTGCTGGAGAATGCGGAGATCGGATGCCCATTTCAATCGCCGATCAAGCGGCTCGTTTGAAATGAATTTCGTCAACATCGCAGTACACGGTCATTCGCCATATCAACCACGATTCAACAGTATTTCCGACCTTGGCGCATACTATATATGGGGTTTCTCAAAATGGTGAACCCTTTTTGGTTGGTGTTTAAAGGGAACCAAAAGGAAACCAGTTTGGGGGACCGATATTTTGAGAAACACCCATATATATATATATACATATTATACATACATACATATGCTCGTACTATATATACATATATCACGTCCTTGCTTTGAATCGCCCATTTGAGTTGTGTGCTTTCCGGGAGGTGGACCGTGCAGAGCTTTTGCAACGCCAACTACGCGGCGATTTGCACGCAGACCTGGAGGACCCACCAAAGTCGTGCCATGTTGGATCCCCCAATGCTTCCAACAAGCTCTTGGCCGGTTCTGCTCATAGAAACATAGCCTTGGTGCCCTCTTAACTCGTGATCCACGAATGTGACAGTGCTTGCAAAGTAGGCTCCTTTCACAGCTGGCTTGCAAAGCAGTGTTCGACAGAGTGTTCATTTTGGAACGTGAGAGAGCGTGACGACAGCTGCTTGGCTCAGGCTGGGATTCAAGCAGACCAAGTGTGCCCAGAGCCAAGCCTCTTGTGGTGGGATGGGCGAGCCAGATCGATGTGTCTCCTCCACAGCAGTGTTGCTCGATACGATTCAGAAGGATGTTTGCATGCCGCTGACGCACTGGCACACACACACACTCACTTAGTCGCTCGGTTTGCATTCTTTGATTTTGCACTTTCCAATATGGGTCCATTTTGTGTGTATGCAATGTTCGGCTTGGCACCAACGTGGCCAATCGGCACCAGCGATGTCGAACATCGAGTTGCAGAAGCCCTTCATGGAGTGCCCACGATCAGGTTGGTCCTGGATACAATGGAGATGTCATAGGTGAAACATGTTTTCTTGTTGCACCCAGCGTCACTATATGGGGGTTGATCAAAAGGTCCTTGCAAGGAGTTATGTATTCGGTGACCATTCGTCTTGGCTTAAATCCCGCCGCGAAAGATTGGCGACGGAGTTCGCGAAAGAAACTTATTTTTTCGCGAAAGATTCCGCGTTGAATTCTTGGAGGCATGCCTGTGCACTGACATATGTGCAGACCCCGCTCCCTTGTAGAAAGGGAGATACGCGGCTCCTACACTTGCATTATTGATTCCCTGCCTGTGTTGGGATTGGTGCAAATCAATAACGTTTGCTGGGCAATCTTGGAGAAAGTTTCGCGAAAGATCCGCGAAAGACCGGCGAAAGGCCAGGGAGCACATCGCCGGCAACCGCAAGTGGCAAGGGCGAATGACGGTGACTGCCTGCACTTGACACTACGTACTGCACACAAGTGAACTGCGGCTACCGTGTTTGCAAGCACAACTGCAGCAGCCACAATGGCTCCAGAGCGCACGCTGCAAACAAAAGGGCGTGGCGATGGAGTCGCGAAAGATTCGCGAAAGAAACTTTTTTTCTCGCGAAGATGGCGTTTTCCGGAAACAGGAATATTGATCAACTGCCATATGAATGTTCAGGAGTGTTCCTTCTCTGAAACTGTCCTGACTTCTCTTGTGACGCTGACTGCTGATGTTCTAGTGACCTTGCTGTGGCTATAGCAAAGGCGCCATCCGTCCACTGCTTGGTGTTGCCTGGTCCACATCCGGAAGTCACATACTCCAATTTGATGATGCATTCATTTGAGTCACAGGCCGAGGATTTGGCGTAGATCTTTATGCAAACACCTCGCTTAAACGGTGAATGCAAAGAAACACGTGCTTTGAGTTTCCTAGCTTCTTCTTCTACATGACACGCAGCCTCTGTAGAAACACACTCATGGATGCTAATCATCTTTGCTTTGCTTGACTAGGATGTTGCTCCTCTCAAACTCAATGCAGATCAAGACATTCCAGGCGGACTACCGCTGATTCCATTCTGTTGATGCTGGCCATGATCATGACGACGACCGCGACAATGATGATGATGATGATGATGATGATGATGATGATGATGATGATGATGATGAGGATGAGATGAGGATGACGATGACGATGACGATGACGATGACGATGACGATGACGATGATGGTCATCATCATCATCATCATCATCATCATCATCATCATCATCATCATCATCATCATCGTCAACGTCATCATCATCATCATCATCATCATCATCATCATCATCATTCCAGTCAATATGTACTGGCTTTGCAGCCTTTGCACTTGGCCGATGTGACCTTTCTGCCAACTGGAGCTCGTTGTCACAAGACGGCTGTAGATGGGTGCCTTACTCTACTGCTTTGGACTTGTGGCTAAATGTCGTCTTGGGGATACTTGGAAGGAACTGGCAAGGACGTCAATGTCAATTGCAAAGGGGTACTGTATTACCGACGGTATTGCTTTTGGGGCCTCTCCCTTCGGCCTTTCAGGTCTCTCCGTACCTAGACTTCAAGGAGAAGGTTTTGGCGGAGACAGCGATGCTCGCCTGAGAGAAAGCAATTCAAAATCATTGACATTGAAGGACAGGCTTGTGGGCGGCGCCCGTATTTTTTCTTTGAAGGCGGGCCGTCCAAGCAGTGTCTATGCATTTGGCGCAAAACAAACGCAGAGATTGCGTAGACGAAATCTCATGAACGATTGCCATATTGTGTTGAATCGGCAAAACATGCAGCTGCCTGCTGAATGGCCATTGCTCGTGCACTTTGTATTTGGTTTACTTTTCAATTGCCACGTTTAAAACTTACCGGGCATATGCAGCATATGGTCATGTTCTTGCAACTTTGGGCATGCCTCAAATGGCTTTGCGCCTCTTTCAGAGGCCCGCGGAAAGTCTCCTGCGCGCTCGGCCGAGGACAGTCTTAGAATCTTCCGTGTGTTCGCGCGGCAAGGACGTCCGGCATGAGGCCAGTCTTGGCTGCCCTGGCCATGAGAAAGTCCGCCTGGGCGCCAATTGCTTCAATTTGCCTTCTGAAATCAATCTGATACTTGAAGCCTGACAGATGCCCGGACTTCATGAAGGCACATACGCCAAGAGCATAGGATCTAAGCATACCTAAGCATAGTTTTATCGGACAGTTTCCTTTCTGAATACTACCAGAAAATTCAAGGATCTCGTTTTCGTTTTTTTGGTTTGTTGTCATGGCCTTGTACTGAGTCTGTTGGGCTTGCCGGTGCCTCTCCCAAGTTTTTTGTCGACTTACGGCCAGTTGGACAGCACCACGCGCTCCTTCTGCTTCAAGCAATGCCAAACTTCGCAGGGCAGCTCAGGTCGGAGAGATTTATACGCAGAGACCCCTGGTTCTTGTAGAGGGTTTATGGGAAACCACCCCCGGAACACCTCGAAACCAACAATCCGAACCACCAATTGGAGGGAAGCTGAGATATACAGCAAGCAAGCAAACAAGCGCAGAACATGTGCGGGATGCCAAGATATCCATGCAATTGCTTTGGCCAGAGCATCCAGGAAGTTCGAGTTTTGCGGCTCGTGGCTGAGCCAACTATTGACACACCATGAAGGAGCACAAACTTAGCTTTTCATTGTTGATTTCAAAGCAATGGAGTTTTCCTCGATGTTGTTTCACGAGTTACTGCGCGTTTGTAGGTTGGACCGGGAGAAGGAGTGGAGCCTCGATCAAGCTGGAGCCTCAGCTCTGCATCCAT